GTAACAAATGGACCAGCAATAGTAAACCATATATTTGCTCCTCTTTGGCTGGCTCAGCTGTGGTTTCCACTCAACTGAGTCAGCCAAAAAGGAGCAAGAGAGAGACCTGGCAAGATGTGCCTCTGAACATGATATAGCACTCTGAGAATAAATTAAAGAGGAGGATAGACATAATGAAAGAGATTGGTTCAATCCTGGCTTAGAGCATCTAATGTTAAAGTTGCAGAGTCTTGGAACTAGTGGCCAGAAAAGTGGAAGCTGGGTGTTGAGGGGAATTGTAAAAGTATCAACTAGAGGATTCCCAAAGTGAGAACAAATCCACTGAAACATAGGGATGGACAGACTACTCCATGTAAAGAATACAGATTAAGAGAGACAATCAACTGTCCATCAAGTTAAAAGTTTCCCAGACATGACAGCCTGACTACTGAATGTAGTGGTCATGGGCCCAAAAGAGAAAATCCAGAACCAGAAAGCATAAGTCCTGATAATGAGTGCCTCCCTGTCAGCTGACATAGAAACTGCAGTGGATTGTCTTAACAAAATGACCAGTTAGACAAGACTGAAGATAAGCTTGATGAGCAGCATACATCTTGATGATGTTAATATGAAGAGACTGCTCCTCTGGACACCAAACCTTGGAAAGAGTGTAGGTGACCCTTCTCAAAAAAAGAGGCATCATTTAATAGATGGAAGACCAGGTGAGTAGGGGAACAGGGATGCCCAGAGTTGTGTGTGACCAAACAAACCACATTGACAGCAAGAGGTGAAAAGATGGAGGCAAATATACAAGAGAAGACAGTGGATTCCTCAACATTTTCCATTGATCTGCAAGAATTCACTGAAGGGGATGCTTATGGTCATATTCAAGAGGAATAAGGAACTCGAGCAAAGCTAGTGTCCTCAAGAGAGAATCTCTAGTGCAGTAAGAAAAGGAGACATGAGAACTTTGGTAACAAGAAGCTTCATGTCTCAAAAATGCAAAGAAAAAGGCTGAGCTCCCCATGCAAATTTATCAAGAATCTCTCAAATGAATCAGATGGTGAGTGGGGGTTAAAACAGCCAAGAACGCTTCCTGGGATAGTGCAATAAGGAGCCAGTCATCTGTATAATAGTGGAAATGGAGACCCAATGAATGCACCTTCCAGGTGAAAGCTCAAAGGACTTGATTAAATATGTACAGGTCCATTGCTAACCAGAAGGGAATGGCCCTGAAATGAAAAATCCAACCATCATGGATGAATCAGAGAAAATGATGGGAGGACGTAACAATCTAAATGTGGAGAAAAGTATCAGAAACTTTAACCTTGGTCATTCATCCACAGTATAGAAGAGAATACCTACCCTCAACTGAGAAAATCTTCCAACTTGAATTGAGGGTTGACAAGAAATTGGTTCAAGAATTAAATATCTATGACAAGTTGTCAATCTCCTGTCTTCTTGGGAATGACAAAAAGATGGGAATAAAACCCCAGAGAAGGTTTGAAGACCTGTTCTACAACATTTATAACCAGAGAAGACACAGTCTCCTGCAGGTACCAGAGGCAAAAGAGATCCAAAAGGGTCAGAAAGACAACTCAAAAGAGAAATAGGAGATTGAGTGTGAAAAGGCAAGGAAAATCTGTGGGAAAGCACCTGTGGGACACAAAGATATTCTGCAAAAGGGAACCCACAGACTTGCAAAAAGGAAAAGTTGAGCTCCCACCAGAATGGAGCTGAGGGGGAAGCTCCATTATAAGTCATCTCTATACTCATTGATGAGCAACCCTAGGGGGGGAGATTGAAAAGTAGCAAGGGAATGAGGAACAGGAGAGGATGTAACCCAACAAGATTCCCATGAACAAGAAACTGTGAGAGCCCCTGGACCCAACTAGAACACCTCAGAGGCCTTATTTTGAATAATGGGTGTCAGGTAAACACCCAAAAGTAAAGCATTCTGAACAAGCAAATTCCTGAAACAAAGAAGTCAAGTTAACTTAGACACTGCAGAAGATAAGATCAAGGTCAAAATGGCAAAGAGGTAGGTACAATTGTCTCCAGTGAAGCTGCTAAAGTCTTAGTATGGAGCCTCAGAAGGTGAAGGTTAGATAGACAGAAAAGGAGTTGAGCAAAATTCAGATGAAGATAAGCAAACTGAAGGTGAGTGAGGAGAAGGGAGGGAGTCCCCAGCTGGAAGAAGAGATTCAAGGGATTGAAGCTCAAGAAAAGTAGACTCTTTCCAACCATATGTTAGAGAATAAGCTCTCAAAGTCGAGACAGCTGGGAGTCAATGCAGAGCTGAGATAAAAACATTATTGCCATAAATGTGAATATCAGGGATAGGAAGGGGTGAAAAGACAGTCAGAATAAAGAGGCACATGCAGCAAGACAGCCAAAGACTCAACAGCAACAACTGGAAAAAAAGAGAAAGAATGTCACATACCCAATTAATTAAAACAGTAAAAGGCAAGGGTGAGGTTACCTGTTCCTCATCAGAAAGAGAAGAACCAGACAAGGTAAACTTCATCAAAGTAACAGAAGCAAGTGGTCAAGAACCCTGGGTCTCAGATGAAGAAAGTAGAATAGAAAAAAAACCTTCTGAGGCACAATGGCAATAACATCACTAATCATATGAATGCCTCCAGTTGCCATTGAAATAGTAGAAGACAACTCTTGTGATGGAGTTTCAAGACCTCAGGAAGTGTCAGAAACGTGAACATAGAAATTCATTTTTTGTTGAGTGAACCTTTAGTTTAAAACAAAAGTACTCAAGTACAAAACTAAAAAAGTTTGGCAATAAGGTTTAGCTGAAAGTTAAAATAACAAATGCAATGCAAAAATCCTGCATCTCTGACAAAGTAACAAATTCAAGATGTTGAAAGACAAGCAATGCCAAGAAAAGAATAAACCTTTGATCTAATACTAGTGCTCATGGCAATTACTGCACATGATGGATGTGTCACTTTCCTATTGGTGGAGGGCTATAGTCTAATGATATTAGATTCCAGGCTGGTACATGACATGTTGATATGTGTTGGGGTGGGAGTTTTTTTTCAAAGTTTGTGAAATGTACAAAAGTCATGACATCAGTGGTCTAAGGTAATAAATAGCTCTTTGTTGTGCAAAGAGGTGAGTATACATTTTTTAATATCTTAATTTCAAAAGGAAATATTCAAATAAGTTTTCAATTTTCATTTTTATGTATCATGTAACTCTTCTTTGTTCTGAACTGCTCATTAGAATTTGTCTCAATTCTTATATTAACCATATTGGCCCAATTATAAGGCAATGTTTTTGATTAGTAATTAGACTGTAAAATTCATAGTTGCCTTATAATCATGGCTGACCACAAGCCCCTTCCCCTACTCTTGCCTGTCACATTCCTAAATGTCGAGATAGCATCCATCGACGACGCATGCACACCATACGTTTGCTCAAAATCATCGCTAGTTCTTGCACCTAATCCACCTACAGGCTGTTCAGTTATAGTATTGATTTTGCAGACCTAAAAGGACGTTATGACACTCAGTTTGTTTTTTTTCCCATGGTTTCTGGAAATGGAGGTTGCCATATATTCAAGATTGCCCTATAATTGGGCCAATACAATACTTTCTAAGTTTCTGAGAACTTATACAATTATATGTTAGACATTTCTAAGCTAAAATGAACATTCCTAGCACCTATTCGTCTTGGTTTAATAAGGTACCTGTCATAAATTAAAACTAATATGCCATGCCCCTCTTAGCATGTGTAGTTTTAAAAGTTGTCAATAATTCCCTCTGATATTTGCTATTTGATTATTTATAATTAACAGAAAGAGAAGATTTTAATCCACTACTTTCCTTATTAGGCTAGCTCATTCTCATGAATGGCTATGATTTATTCTGCATCAGTTTCATAGTTTGCTACCACCAAGGCCACCTTGACAAGGTTAGGAAATTATTTTAACACACATACAGCTTAGTTTGAAAGTCAGTTAAATTATAATAGCTTTAGGACTCTCTTTTTTTGTTGTGTGTTGATATTTTGTGCTTTAAACTGCATATTTAAACTAAATAAAAATTCAATAAAGTACTTGTACCACTCCTACAAAAAAAGGGGGTAACTATCTTCAAGACTTCAAGAGCAAATAAGAAAAAAATACAAGACTTGTATGTTACATACTAAATTTCTTGTTTTTATGAATATTTTTTATTTATTGTTATAATGTAAAAATTGAAACTTATTAGGTTAAACAAGAAAATTTAAATTAAAAAAAAATACGGCAGCATGAGCATGTCTCACAAGTACAGCATTTTGTAATTTGGCTAACCATGATGGTAATCCAATGCTATTTTTATATACAAAGCTTCCCTGTTGTGATAATTTACTTTGGCACTAATCTAAGTGGCTTTAAAACAATAAATCTAAATGACTGGAAGATCAGAACTGTATTAGCTTTGGCCATAAGAATAATTGGTGTGTAATTGTCTGTAACAATATGCAGTCATTCTAGAAAGTAAAAAAAAAAGTAAATTTATATATATTTCTTATTTTTTTGTAGTGGTTACAATGTCTGTCAAGATTTACATTATTAGGGTAGAGAGAATGACAAATAAAATATAAAGTTTTACAGAAAAAAGTTTTGATCTCCATTATTGGAGGCTCTGGAGCTTATGTAAATGAAATTTGAAAACTGTGAGATGAAAAATACTTTTTTCATCATAACATCAAAATCACCTTACATACAGACTATTTATAGCCTGAGTCAGACTCTGACTATAAATTCACAGAAAAATCTTTAGTAAAAACACTTAATTAAAGATCAGATGTTTTTGTATATAAAAGATTTATAATGTTGACTAAAAGCTTGCTAAATTTCACAAAGATACACTTACTAAGTTATGGCATGTATAGTTTCATGGTTATATGGTGGTTGCAAAGTTGGTCAAATGACCAAACTTGTATAGAGAGGATTAGCAGTTTTTTATTTTTAGACCTAATAGACGTTATTTCTTAGTTTTTCATTACATTTGACTCACTTTTTGAATTTTCCACATTAGAGCTTCTACTTCCTTGGAGGGGTAAAACATGCAATGGCCCTTTGGCTATTGTGCTAAAGTGACGTCCAGCTCGACTTTCCAAAAACTGCTTGATACTGTTTCCAACACAATATTCTTTTGGGTCAATACACTGTTGAATGAATAAAACTAATATAAAAAACAATTTAATACTTTTTATCAAAATGTTGTAGTTACATTGCACCATCAATGGTGTACCTAACATTAAAACGTTGGTTTTATGACATTATTTTATCAAGAATTAGGAATTAATGAGTGCTGATTTCAATACTTTGTTCACAAATATGAATGCTGTAAATTAAAATGAAGAAAAAAAACAGATAATTTCACTAAAAATTTGCAGATCATCCCTGCCTGGTACTGTGACATAAGTAACTGCCAAATATTGCATTATTTTTAAATTTTTTCTAATAGTGTTTCAAATTACCAGAAAGACACGATAAGCCTTCAAGATATAAAATATTTTTCAACTTCTCCATTCATAAAAAATGTTATGATAAATGAATTCCAATACTTTACAAATATCTAAAAAGTAATTTAAGGTTGTTCTAAAAGATGTCTAATCATCAATGTATCTGCCATAAAACATTTAATGAGTTTCTTAAGACATTTTTGTAGTTTGTGATAATATGATACCAAATTATACTTCAGATTTCTTAAGTGATAGAGAAACATAAAAAGTAATAATAATAATGAGTTTCAGCTGTTTTATACAACAGACAGAACTATTTTCTGTTTGAGAAAACTTCAAAACAAAAACACATCTTCAGTCTTACCTGTTTAACTCCATCAATTGGACTGTTCGTTTTTTCAGAACACGCTGCAAGGCGACAGTACAAATAAACATTATGACCAATCCACCTTTCAGTCAACTGAAAGAAAAACCCCTGCTGATGATACAAACCCCTTGAATTGCCTCCAGTATTAGATGACTCCACACTTAGTAGACCAACACTTAAATGTTTGGGGCAACTAAAATTATTAATAAAATTACGAATGAGATGCATGTTAAATAAAAGAAATATAGGTCACGTTAATTTAAATTGAATGACATATATCAAAAACTAGCTCATTATGCCTATATTATACAAACAGACTACAAAAATCCATTTTGAACAGTTAAGTAGAAAAAAAACAATTTTTAGTATTGGGTTCAGACAAAGCTATACCTAATTTAAAAATGCTGCCCAACAAGAGGGCAGTGATTCAATAGCCTTTACAACCACTCATAAGTGAAAAGTCAAATTGACTGGCACTGTTAATGTCCCCACAACTGAAAGCACAAAGTGTGTTCAGTAGCATATATGATCCACGAAGTACAGTCTAGCAGTTAACCATGAGGCCACACCCAGTTCAAACTTACTCAATAATTGTGTTTGAGTTGAAAAAAATATAATATCTCACTTACAGTTAGATGTTTGAGAAAGTCATATCAGTAAACAAAAGGAACAAATTCGAAACATTAAGTCACATCAGTATACATAAGGAACAAATTTCAAACATTAAGTCATATCAGTATACATAAGGAACAAATTTCAAACAATAAGTCATATCAATATACATAAGGAACAAATTCCAAACATTAAGTCATATCAGTAAACATAAGGAACAAATTCCAAACATTAAGTCATATCAGTATACATAAGAAACAAGTTCCAAACATTAAGTCATATCAGTATACATAAGGAACAAATTATATCTTTACCTATGCTGAATCAATACTTCTTGGTCCTCAGCTACATGATATGAGCTGTTGTACAAAGAAATCCAGCACTCATCTGTTACAATATACATATCAGGACCTGGAAAGAAAGTATAGGAATAAATATTCAGCATTACTTGCACATACACACATGGATTTTTTCTACTTTATTTTGCATTTCTTACTAAGTAGCACAAAAATAACTTCTATCTATGAATATTCAAATATATGACAGTTAAATGTAAGTTATTCAATACAACTAATCTCATAATTTAAAGTGTAATAAGTGCTTTGCTATCAAATGAGATTACACATCCTATGTTGTTGTTATTCATAAAGTTTTTTTTTAGAATCTCCATATTTTATATATCAATATTTAGCCTTCAAAATAATTCAGTAAGAGAAGGATGGTAATCCCTCAAAATTCAATTGGTAAAAACAGCAATAAAAAGCGTCTCCCATCTTTCAAAAAATTGTTGACCCTCTAATTCTCTGTACCTACTATTGAAAATCATTATAGAGTTTTACACAGTAATGCACAAACCTGCAACAATTGATGCCTTTACATAAATGTTATCTCGAGCCATCACTTCAATTGGTCCATCTCCCTTCTGTAGCATCTTATGAAAGTGAGAGTCCTGGTAGAGTTCCATGTGATATACACGAGCATCATTGACCTAGTAGTATAAATCAACAATTATCAGTTATGGTTAATATTTCAGCAAGTAATGAAATTAATAAAATATATTACAATCATCAACTAGTTTGATGAAAATGTCTACACAATCAATCTGCCTGACAAACATATTTAAAAAATTATTAAAAAATAGCTGTTTTAGACACATCCTAAAACTTAAATTATTATGCTTTAATTTTGCTATAAGTGAACATTACATGTTAAAAGTACCAGTAATAAAGTCACTTTTAAACAACGAATATAATTTGTAAATAAAACAAGATCTCTATTTTGTAAGAAAATGGTTTCATTCCTTTGAACAGCATTACTTCCTGTACTGCTACAACCTTAACTCATATTCTCACAAAACCATTTTGTTGTTACTCATATTGAAAACTTTAACTAATAAGAAAATATTCCATAAATCTTAATTACTCCTTTGTTTTACATAATATACCAAAATATAACAATCATTTTAAAACAATTTTAGATTTTTAAACACAACATTCACTTTTACATAGTAGTTCCATATTTCAGCAAGATATGACAAACATATCAGAAATATTACACACATTTAAACACCACAATCACTTCTAACAGAATATATTAATAAGTTTTATTTTCTTAAACGTTTCAATAAAAACTCAGTACAGTATAGAAATATCTTACTTTTCCATTTCATACATTTTAAAATATCATGGTTTTACATTCAAACTGAAAGATTAATACCATATTCCCCATATTCTGGCAATACTCTTTCACACAATCATGATCATGTGAACATCTCAGTGTTTCAAGTCTGAAACTACATTAGTAGTTTCTTCCACACATCACTATTAACTTGCTTTATACTTTACACATTTCTCCTATATTTTTTAAACATGACATCTTATCTTACCATTTCAAAGATGCTTCCATCATTGATGAAGTCAAAAGCACATTGAAAACTTTTATTAAAAATGAGACGAGACTGAGCGATTCTTTTGTGACTTGCTAGAGCTTTATGAATATTATAACCCAGTCCAGATCCATCTTCTGAGCTGAACATGTCTTCATCATCAACAAAAGAGTCTGAAACCCCTACAGGTGACCAGAATAAGATCTGGAACAAGAAAAATTACTTATACTAATTCATTGAACTACAGCCACATGCTATCTACTAATATAACCTATAAGGCTCTTAATAATTTTTTAATACTTATTTCCCTGCACATATGTATGGATCAACACACCTGATTTTTGAAATGGTACCTTCCACCATCAAATGCAATATTAAACCCACAGTTACGAAAGGATGTCTCCAGAATGAAGTGAGTGACATTAGTTGTTGCCTTACACTCCTGATCCTGTAACGTTACTTCCAGCAAATCTGTATTTGTTCCATTCAATCTGGCAACAATAGTTTTGCCGGAAGACTTTGGTAAAGTCAGTTTTAACTTATCCTTCTGGCACTCCAAGTTTATCAGATCTTTTATCTCCATTGCAAGCTTTTCACCAGCATTTCCTGAGTAATTATAGTAACAATAATGAATTGATTTACTTACATCTCACATACTTTTGCTAGAACAAAAAAAGTAATTTAATAAAGAGTTCATTTTCAATTCTAAAACCATTGCAATCTAATAAGAATGTATAATAATAATAATAATAATAACACTGGATTTTATAATTAACTTCTTGTATATACTTAAACATTTATGATTTTTTGTGCAGTTACTTATTTTTAAATGAATAGTTGGTCTAAAAAAATACAGAATTATATGCGAATTTCTACATCAATATAACTAGCCCTGAAATGATGAATATTTAGCAAAAGCCAAACATTGATGAAAAGAGGATCACTAATGACTTTTTGATCAATATCATTCCCTAAGTGTCTCTGCAAGTAAACTTTCAAAGCTTTGGATAATATTCACCAAAACGTAATAACAGTTTAAATCGGGAATAAATGTACAATTATTTTAAGGGAATGAAACTTGTCAACACAAGAAAAAAAGATAATTCAATCCTAGTATAAAGATATTTTTAAATAAATGAAAACCATAAAATCAACATATAAATTATACTAGTTAATCATCTCTATATATGTGAAGCACAAAAAAAAAAAAACTGTGTGGCCATCTGTTTTTCTGTTATATAACTACTTCTAGATCATTGGGCCAATCTCAACCAAACTTTGTGGGATGATAGTTTGGAGCAATGGGCATGTTAATGGGTTGACAACCTCCTCCACACTCCATTATTGCTGTTATTAAGCATTTAATATCTTTGACATAAGTTAACATTCACTACATTCATAGATGGTGCTACATCCTTACACCAAAAATAAAAACTTTATTAAATTTTCTAAAAAACAACATTCACAAAGTGTGGGGGAGGGCACACAAACATCTTATATATCTCACAGGGTGAACTAGCACTCTCTGTGGAGGAATGGAATGTAAAAAATGGCCACCAATATTGCAATACTACATAAACTCAGCTGAATTTCCTACTCCAACAGCCACCTTACAACTTCGGCCAGTAAGATACTTCCGTGGCCAATGATCATCAATTAATTAATCACGTGAAACATTGTGCAAGGACAATAAGAGCTGGGTGTTGAAAGTGAGTAACAGAAAGCACTCCTACTGCCACCACTTTGGCCACTAACTCTTCCTACAAAGTCACCCTGACCATCGCACAGTATATTCCATGTTTTAAGTACATATTGAGTTCTTAAAGCTTATGCAAAACTTTTTGGGGAGGTAATAATGAATACTGTAACAATAAGTTATGTTATAAATAAATTACATGAAAGTTAGGAATTTTTTGTTGTTGCTATTTATCATAGTATCCACCCACTTTAAAGTTCATTACTCAGACAAATGACAGGTACCTCAGCTTGTATAGAAATATAACCAACTAAGTCTAGGTTTCATGTTCATACTAAAGGTACCTTAACAGTTTAATCTATGGTAAGTTCAATCTAGCTTACTCCTACAATCAAATTATAAATTATTCTAGTTAATCTTACAGAAATATAACCAACTACACCTAAGTTTCACATTCATATTAAAGATACCTTAACAGTTTAGCCTATGATGAATTCAATCTAACTTATTCCTACAATTAGACCTGTAATATCAATTATAAAATCCTAAGAAATAGAAAATTAATTACAAAAATAACAAAATTACAATTGTAAATTGAAAAGTAACATTTCATGAAACTGAAACAATTAAAAGTGTATTATGTCACCAGATAGATACTACTGCTATTAGTATTATTTAAATTGTTTTAGGTCGTAACATGAGTAGTCTTCTGTTAATAACATTTAAATTGTATTAGGCACAAGACAGGTACTTTTGCTAATAATGATGTTTAAATTGCATTAGGTCATCAACTAGGTACTCTTGCTGTTAATAATGTTACCAGGTATAAAAAGTTTGGTGAGAAAATAATATGGAGAATCAGAGTTATCAGAAAAGAACAATTAAGTGTTTTATAATGAAGCTAAATATTCCCTGAATATCTTTCCAGTTTTTCTCTGATTACAAAATAACATCTCTAAATTTTGATAATTTATTTTCCCTTGGAAAAATTTGGCATAAATTTTAGGTTGATGATATCAATCAATTGCAATTCATGTTTTAGTAACATTTCTAAGCATAAAGACAAAAAACAAGAAGTTAAGCAAATTTTAAAAACTGCTATGTGTATTACCTTTCAAGTTTACAAAATAAAACAATACATACATGCACATAGAAGAAAATCACTCATATTCTAAGTGTCTTTAAACAAAAAAAAAAGAGTTTAAGCATACCTTGCCATTTATCATGAAACGTGTTAGTCAGAGATGACTTAACCCTGCCATTCCAGATTTCTCTAGATTTTGCACTGAGGAATGTCTTTGAAAATCCTTTTAAGTTCAATGGAAATTCATTCTTTTCTCTATGTAATCTATTCCAAGGAGAAGGAGGTATCTGAGAGGAGACAGTAACACTATCTGACTGCTGGGATTGAAGAACCTGTGGCTCATCTTGACCAACTGATAATCGATCCTTAAGTGACTCTCCATCACTCTGCACATTACGGTGATCTGTTTCTAGAATAAGAAAATAGATGGTCAAGCCAACATGGATCTTTTTAGTGTCATATAATAGTTTTGTCTGGTTTTGATAGTCAGACACTCAGTGAACCATAACTGTCAGCTGTAGTAATCTGTTACTAGAAGACAATTTGTATCATCTAATGTTTGGGTATAGCTGCCCTTAACTTTGAGTTACTGACTAATGGAAGGTCAGTCAGTCAGGCAGCAGCACCCATTGTCATTGGGGCTTTGTCCAGCTCTTTGAACTGAATAATGTAATTAACTATCACAACCAAATGTGTGAAGCGTTTTCAATGGCATCATGTCTTGAATACTGGAATTTTCAATCTGCAGCTCAAAACTCAAACCACTAGACCAGGCATAGCCCCACTTATATCAAGAGATAGGCTACACTGAAAATAATAAACTCATATTCCAACAAAAATGCTTTACTGTTGATTTGTTTTTACACTATATACGATAAATTCACATATTTGTGTTCATACTTAGAAGTCCTTCTGTATCATATAGTGACAACATTAAGTTGTTTATATATAATTTAATTCTTATGCTCAGGGAGTGGCTTAATTGAGGTGTACTGAATAGAATCACATTACACAGTTATTTTACAAATTCTTGAAATACTTTGATAACTGAAGCAGGATGGGGTAATATCTCAGATGCTTTCCTTAAGTTCTTATATGGCAATACAAAGAAAATGTAAGAGTGTCCACTATCAGTTGATTAAATAATAGTACTTGATATTCACCAAAAACAAGGTGAGTAATTACATGTAATAGCATAAACCCTCAACATCACAGGTGTAGGTTTACAGGGAATAATATCTGATTTTGATCTCAACACCACTTGTATATCACATGTTTAAATGCTGACAGTATATCAGAAGATATAAAGCTTCAATAATAATATATTGTAAAACAGAGAGCTTCAAACAGTGAGAGTATATAACATTTTTACTTGTTCATGTATTCATGTTAAGCTACACACAAGTTATCTGCACACAACCACCCCTAATTATGAACTTATAAGACTATAGGGAAAGCAATTAAGTCAACAGCACCCAATGCCAATTCTTGAACTAATCTAATTGAATAGTGTGATTTGACCATCACTCTTATAATGCAACCCCAAAAGAGTAACATTTCCGCACAATAACCACTAGGCCTGAGAGAGGATACAGAGATGAGAATGTACATGGCTTCAAACACTTATAATCTTTCAGAAGACACAATGTTTATTACTTATCATATATACACATATATAAAAGATATGCAGCTTCGAATCAAATAATAACATGCCAAAAGATACACAGCTTCAATAATAATATCTCAAAAGTTATGTAGTTTCAAATACTGATGATGTATTAAAGACAAGTAACTTCAACTTTGCTCTAAGGCCTTAGAATTACTTATCAGCACTTCTCCTATAACCATGATGTTAACTATGTTTCTACATTTTTGTGAGACCTTAAGATTACTTACCAGCACTTCTCCTACAACCATGATGTTAATTAAGTTTGCTACATTGTTTCGAGACCTTAAGATTACTTACCAGCACTTCTCCTACAACCATGATGTTAATTAAGTTTGCTACATTGTTTCGAGACCTTAAGATTACTTACCAGCACTTTCTCCTACAACCATGATGTTAACTCTGTTTGCTATGTTGGTCTCCATAACTGTAGAAACATTACCAAAAATATCTGCCATTGCTGACACCAACTCTTCTGTATCATTCGGTAGACTCTGGACTTTTACTTTCACAAGCTGGAAACTAGGTACCAAGCCTGGTAACACCTGGTGTTCAGCCTGTAAAAACCACAGAACCATGATTATTGTGTCTTGGTTTGAGGTTAAATCATTTTAATAAAGATTAATATTTCAGTGTTAATTTGAAAGTTTCAATTCTTTTAGAATCATGACACCATCAACTCATATAAATAGCACCTTGACCACTACTATATCTGTCATAGCTCAGCTTGCCTGAAGAGCTTTGGTGTTGAGCAAAAGGCTTTGTCAATGCTAGATATGTCAGATGCAAGGTAGTAGACATATTATTATATATTCTTCTTTGCTTTCAACTCATAAGTTCTCAAAATTAAATATAAGAATAATTTGTTAGCACAAATATACCAATGCAAATTTTGAAAAATTCTTTAATAACATTGACTTAAAAGATAAGTCCACTAATCAGTTTAAGGTGTTTTGATATTAAATAAATTATTTTTGTTTAATTATAATTACTAGAAAAAAAGAGACAGTGAATGTAAAATTGATCTAATTTTCTATTAACTCATCACTTTAAAGTCCTACTGTGACTAGTTACTCTTTACAATTTATACAAGGATTAATCATGATTTATAGTTTAGGTGTCAATCTTATTTCATACAATTTTAACAAAAAACCAAAGTGTAAAATGCTTAGTTTATCATTGGACTACTTTTAAGTTTAAAATGTAGTTTGATAACACTTTTACCTAACAGATTACGTGTAGTTTTGTTTTTTGTAATTTATTATGTGATTATTACTACAAGATTATTTGGTACTATAGTAATATGTATAAACATCATTAAAAAAATTCTATAAAAATGACTAAAAATGCACTTAAAAATATCTAAAACAGTTATGTTCCACAAATGTTATAATAATTCTCTTGCACAATGTGAACAACATCTATAGCAGAAACCTTAAGTTTACTTATATATGGTGTCTGTTTCAATTCTTACCACCACATGTACAATTCCCTGAACACCCCAGCTGTCAATCCTCCATCTGACTGCTGATTCAGACTTTAAAACCAAAACCAAATCCTTAATGATGATTGGTTTACTGGGAGCATTTCTCTCAGCTGCTCCTTGAGGCTGGAGATGAATAACAACTTCATCTGATTCTCTGGTTGACCTGATCTTTATTACATGGACATCCCTGGTAAATTTAAAAATTTATGAGTCAAATAAAAGAAGAATATGTAAATAATATATCAATGACACTACATTTGCTATATCCAGTGCCAATGAGACCTTCCGCTAAATATCAGAACTTATTTGGCTGGCTAGGATGTGACAGGCATAGTCATGCTCTAGGAGCTATTTATATTACCAACTGCATGAACAAAATATAACTGAGCTTTTACTACCTTCGAGAGTATCTTACAACATCAAATGTGTAACACAAAACAAAATCCATTGTTCAAAAGAACTTATATTTTTGTTCTTTACATATCTGAATGTATGTTATTTTAAACTTATTACAGTGATACAATAAAAACAGATCTAAGATTTAACTCTTTTCAATGCCACAACAACTCTCCCAATGTCCGACTAAGTTTGAAATACGAACTAAAAACAAAACAGACAAATATCTTAATACTTTATTAGTTATCTGAATTTTGAAACTGGTAAACTATGAGAAGTTCTTCATGGAGTTACAAAATTACAAACTCACATGAGGAACATATATAGTCTCCAAAGATAAAGATAAAAAGGAAGTGAAAACACAGATTTTTTTTTGCAGGCATTTTAAAAACTTATATTTAATATAGATCACAGTCATAAATATTGTGAAAAAACTGAAGAAACACTGTGGAACACAAAGACAAAATAGTGGCAACCATATCAAAATTAAAAAGATATGTAGCATTGGTAAAGGAGGTACTGTAATGCCCATGTCTTGAAACATTTATCCCCCCTCCTTAATAAACCTAAATAAAATTAAGTAAAACAAAAGTCAAAATTTAAATTACCTTCACTTCATCTGAATTCTATATGATGATGAGTCAAGTTATGTAGAGAAAAAATCTTCTCACATCAGATTTTTAATAAAAACTAGTACTAAAATTTAATTTGTCACAAATGTTACAATTGTATTTACTGCTCATGAATATTATGTATCTTGAGCATGTTCTCATAAATTCGTTCGTATCTAAATAAGAAACAAAACGAAATCTAATTAGTTAGTAGTGTTTATACTACATAACCAGATGGAACGATGTGCAGTACAAAAACAAAATGGAACACATTTTCAGAATAGAAATAGTAGCGAAAGCTCCAACTAGATGGCGCATATTTTAGGAAGAAATATTTGACTTGAAACATGTTTACAAAGAACGTTCACTTGGGCCTCTCGGTGATCCGTTCTTGGAACTAAGCCAACAAGCAGAGGTTGATGTTCTGCTCCGCTTTTCTGTTTTCCCCAAGAGACCTTGAAGGCGGTACCGAAATGTTATGACACCTTTGGATATGATTGTTTGTTTGTTTTTAAAGCGAAAAGATACACAATGAGCTATCTGAGTTGTGCCTACCACTGGGATCTAACTCTAAATTTAGTGTTATGAAACCTTAAGATTACCGCTGAGTCACAGGGGTACCTTATGAACAGGAACTGTAAATATCACATCAAGAAAGAGACAAAAATGTCCACTTCGTTACGTTTGAAATATATATATATATATATATGACAATATCAACACTTATTATTGCTTTATTAGATAGAAATGATTGCGTATTATGTAATAAGTAAATACATATTGGTACTAACAGTGATTACAGTCATAAATAAATACAGCATCAAAGCTGAAAAATGTGTTACAGTGCAATCAAACTCACTTGTAATAGCGCATAACTATATTAAGCAACAAACATATTTTAAATATACGAAACGTTAAACGAGCACATATCCTAATGTTGTAGTTGCATTACCTAATTTTGAAGTATGAAAACTTATTTTGAAAAATACAGGAAATGTTTGTTTGTTTGAATTTCGCGCAAAGCTACACAAGGGCTATCTGCGCTAGCCGTT